GGTTTAGGGTTTGGGGTTTAGGCTTTAAGGTTTGGGGTTTGGGGTTTAGGCTTTAGGGTTTGGGGTTTAGGGTTTGGGGTTTGGGGTTCAGGGTTTAGGGCTTCGGGTTTGGGGTTTGGGGCTTAGGGTAAGCCTGCGGAGATGGAAATGAGAGTCTCTCAACCCTCACAAAAGCAGAATCCACTTATGATCCGCATAAACATCTAGCATCCCCAAACATCCTTATGTTCAGCTATCTACGGCCGAATCACGACGGTCTCAACCCTGTGGCAGAAAATGGACTTCTTCTTCAACAGCGCAATGAACAAATGTCTGCCTCACCGGTATTCCAAGACCTGAGATGAGCTAGAGTCTAAACTGCTTTGAAAGGAGGGTGATATCGGGGTATATAGGGGAGTTACCCTAAACCCTAAACCCTGTAGAGCTGATTAAAGAGGCTACTAGGAGTTTAGATTATAGCTCAGATGACTAGCAGTTCTTCAGTTGCTTCGCAATATCTCAGAGCTTAGTGTTTAGGAGCCGTTTAGGAGTTCAGGGTCTGGGTTTGGGGTTTGGCTGTGGAGGTTCAAAACTTAGAAGAGCACAAGGGTTCAGACTTTGAACCACACTTCGTCTTCCCGCTGCTTCGCTGGGAGGTCTGGGCATGGAATGAAGGAATGCATTCTGGAAACATCTAATGTAGACCCGTGATTAATAAATTGCTCCTCTTAAGGGCCTTAATACTCGGATCCCTATTATAGTCCGCATTAGGGGGAGGGGGTATACTAATCAGGGGTCTACAATATCTAGTGCATGAAGATGATCCATGCGCCAACTCCCACCCATTCCAGCCATTGTTACTTTGTCACCCAAGCACCAGGAAGTTGGCTGTAATACTGCAAAGCTACCACAATTCTCTGAGACGGGACCAGGCAGAAACCCAAAACGCCACACCCTCAAACCCAAGACCCTAAACATCAAACCCAAAATCCCGAAACCTTACGGTTTTGGGGCTTAACGTCTTGGCTTCGAACTTCTTGGTATCCGGATCTACGCACGACAACTCTGTGTCCAGGTCCGGATGCGCAGCCTGGCCGATTCTGATCTTGGTTTGGAGACTGTAGGATTGAGGGTCTAAAGGTTTTGGGCTGCAACCAGATGGAAGCAGTCATTTGTTGGCCCCTTCGCTTTGGGTTCAAACAAGGCCCTAATTTTTTGAGACGACGCATATGCGCTGAAGCCGCTTAAGGCGACAAAGGCTGGTTGAATCTTCATTGGGGACTTCCCACAATTAGGGGTATCTGCCAATATTTTGGAGTCAATATTGGGGTCCCCCTATTTAGGAAGACTACCAGATCTGACATCAAAAGCTCTTGCGCCGTTCCGCCTCCACCCTGGCATACACCAACATGCCAATCCTGAAGCCAGCCGAGACTGAAAAAAACAGAAACAACATGTTGTGGGTACCTCTTTGGGCGGTCCCTATTATAAGGACTATAGTATTTCGGGTCCCCCTTATTTAGGGAAATTACCATGTGCTATGGTATAAAGATGAAAAGAAGACTTGAACTTATTGGTGGAAGTAAGGAATGCAGGAATGGATCCATCCCCTACCAATAACCCCTACATGGGGGGTTTACCTAAATTTGGGGTACCTTTTTGGGGGTCCCCAGAATAATGCTTATGTATTTGGGGGTCTATATTGGAGTCCCCTTGTTTTGAGAAACTACCATATTCCGACACCAGAGAAAGACCGAATTTCAGGAAAGGCTCTCTAGGATCGGGCGATTTCTCTTTGTGGCGCCATTCCACCTGCCCGTTTAAAGCCGAAACACAGAATGAGCTTCACAACTATAACATCTCTGAATATCTCTGACAATCAACAAGTATTGTGATTCTTGGTATCAGTAATAGCAGTAACCAACCTCCTTGTCATTATTCATAGGATCAGTATGATTGGTATGACTGAATTCTTGTGACCAACAGGAAGTTCAAGGCGAACAAAAGCAAACAACTCTACCCTCTGCAGAAAGCACGGCCCACGCGAGCGTCGGAAGGAAAGCCGGTGAGGGCGCACGAATATCCACCTCCATCCGCTTACTGATGGTTTGTAGGGAATAAGGGAGTATATTGGGGTTATATAGGATAATGGAAAAGAGAATGGAAACGACTTTTCTAAAATAGAGTCTATCGGGATATACATTAATCTGGGTTGCTGTTAAGGAACTTAAATTGAGCTACCATTTTGGGGAAATCATATTGAATACTATATATACCCATTACGGTAACGTAATTTAAGTTCCTTAACCCTTAACAGCAACCCAGACATCTAACTGATAGTTAGTAGGAAATAAGGGAATGCAATCCCGAAATAATCCCCAAATACTATATTCCCTTGTTCCCTACTGACCCCAAGAAAGTCATCCACATGTGAATGCGATAGCAGCTGAATGACTTGACGCATTGCTACAAGGCTTCATAACATTCACTTCCATGCCACAGCCTTGTAGAAGTCAGCATTCCGTGACATTATGATACCGACAATGTAGTCGCCCTGCACATTCTTGCACACTCGGCGATTCTCCAGGGAATCCAGCCGACTCACATCCGGGGACCTTTCGCGGAATGTACCTTTTGCGGAGGTTCTCCACGCGCACTTCATCGTCCAAGGTCCTCCACTCGCATGCACGCCCAATACATGAGCAAAAACACTGTAAACCTGCAGGGTCCAGCAACTAAAAAGTTCAAGCCTCAGCACTCCAGCTGTTGTTGCAAAGGCTCGGCCACTGTCTGTATCCAGCGCTACGCCGAGACCTTCAAGGATTCATCAGCACATCAGAATCTGGTTCACCATCGGCATCCGTCGTCGTTCCGCTTGCGACAATACAGGACAACAAAAGCAGCTATTTGGTATGGGATTATACAAGCATCATATTCCCTGATTCCCTACCAAGAACCAGTAAGATGGGTGTTTGCCCAAAACAGCCCCTAAATCATCCTGAAGCGGGATCCCTACGACTCTTGCATATGAGCCATAATCTAAACTTTGAGTATCCCCTAAACCCTAAATCTTAAACACTAAGCCCTATATAATCCCCTATATAACCCTTGCTTAACCCTGTGTAATCCCCTATACAACCCTGTTTAAGCAGTTTAGATCATATAGTTTCGAAATCCAAGGGCCCAACCTGGAAGCGCACCAGGCTGCAATGGCACTTCGTCGCCGGGCAGACACAACCTCACAATTCAGGGTTTAGGGTTTAGGGCCGGGCTTGGGTGTATTGGAACTATTTAACATCCAGGGTTAAGGCTATTGCTCAGGGCCTAAGACGTGAGGCTTTAGGTTTCAAGGCCTAAGGTTTAGGTTTGCGGGTAGGGCTGAGGCAAGTAAGATCACATGTTTGTCATGAAGTACTCTGCCCAAATGCAGGATATATTTCGCTATGTATTCAGAACGATGGATACTACAGAACCCTAACTGAAATACTTCTTAAATGGAAATTGCGTCATTTTTTGGGGCGGAACCGATACCTCAGAAATATTGCCTGTGCTCAAAATTGAATCCTGCAGTGAGCAGAAGAACTGTTGTAGAGGATTCCAGCAAGACCCATTCCCTCCCCGGCCCCTCCCGCTGCCTGACGCAGCAGGAAGTAATCCGCATGATAAACGCTGTAATATCCCAGTACTCCCCTCCTCCTGATAATACAACACCCCACCCCCCTAAAAATATAAACTACTGCAATCACCTCTTGGAAACTAATTGCTTTTTTGGGGGAACCCAAGTTCTGTCCAAGAGGCGGAATCCAGTTTCGGAATCCTTAAAACGATGTTTTGTTGAACTGTTTCGAAGGATTGGAAAGCGAAACCTGAACTTTGGAAACTCCTGTATATAGGTTGTCCAAAAGTGGGACCTGTTTGGCGTCAATTTCATGCCAAATCCTCTGTTTCTTTGGCGGGAAGACAAGACCCGAATTTCCAAATCCCCTCATTATTCTCCTTTCATCACCATCACTGTTATCAACACCAGCTTGATCTGGAAAAGTTTGTGGTTCATCATATTATCCTTGATATCACCCATGAATGCACCCGAAACCTTTCATGCTGCTGCAAAGGATATTATCATGCATATATTCCGGTGTTTCTGCCATCAATATCATGCCTGCACCAAGCTGCAAAGCTTCTCTGAGGCGCGGTCGCCATGAAGGACTTCACTTGATCATGGGCTGCATGGGAAAGCACAGAACTTCTTCAACTGTCTCTGACCCTTTCCCGAGGCAGCTGTGTCGTTGCATTGACAGGGTTGCACACCCATGCTCAAGATGGCTCACGTTTGAGCCTAAAGCTGCTACATTAACAAAATAGCAAACATGTTCCAGCTGGACAAATTTTGGATCAGCTGCTGCTGCCGGCGTTCTAAACTGTGTGCTGACACTGTCAATGTGGCTCAGACTGTGCACCTACAGAATGATGCTGGAAGAACAAACGCTCATGCTTTGAGCATGCATCCTTTTGTTTCAACAAACCCATGCAACAAAATCTACATGAAGCATCCCCGTGGTACATGCTTATGTCATGTGCAAGGCTGTGTCATGAGCAAAGCCAAAGTTTGTTTGCAAACAACACCAACTTTCTGCAAACCCTGAACAAGCCACTGTGACCTTAAACTTTCCAACACCGCCCAAACGAACTGGACAGCAACAATTGTCTAGGGATCATATTCCCGTATTCCCTACGAATTCCAATAAGAAAACTGGGCTACTTGGCTGGGGAATTTGCTCAGCGCTTCTTGTTGGCGACGCGGAGCTTCACAAGCCTTTGCAGCGCCCTTCCGCCTCTCTTACTTGGGGCTAGTACCCATTAAGGTAATACGGGAAACCAGTATATAGAAGGTATATAAAGGTCATATTCCGCTATTCCCTACTAACCCCAGTAAGCTATGTATTGCTCAACATCACTTGCATGTTTCTTCAGTCGTCGACCTGAGCTGGCACAGAGCCGGCTTGCAACAGCTATATTCAGCCATATGTTTCTACATCCAGAAGGAGCGTCTGCGTCGGGGAAACAAGGTCACATGAAGTCCTCGTCAGCTGCGTTGAGCCACTGGTACACGCAATCTTGACCGTATTCCCGTTGCTTGCTGGTGGGCAGCCAAGGAGTGACCAGTGTTCACCGGCGCTTGCACTGAGACAAACACAGGCAACGACCAGCGATCGCAAATCAGAAGTGGTGTAACTCAGTGGTTGTTCTCCCAATCTGAACTGCAAATGGCTAACCTTCCTGGTAGTTGCTGCATTGCTACTCTCAAATCTTTCATATCGGCTCCGGATCTAAACGCATGCGCCCAGTCGGGCCAAGAAGCACAGTCGTGGTCATGGGACGTGGACCCAAATGCTGATGGCCTGCCAAGAATGCGATTTGCATCACTGAATCCTGCAGCGCTGCTGTTTGTGGGCGCACTGCGATCAGTCATGTTACCTGCAGCAAGAACGGCCTGGCTTGCAAGACGCATGGTTTCCATCATTTGCGAGAACTGGGAAGCATTGATCTGCATGGCTTTAGGAGACCCAGGGTGGGAGCCCAAAGGAAATGGATTAGTATTCCCTGCGGTGGCCTGAGGCAAAAAACACTCGGCTGGCCTGGCGGACCTACAGGTCCTGCGTCACTAATGTCATCGTCGTCGATATCTGTCATGACGCTGGTCTATGTCTGAAATCTGAAAACACTTCGTCTCAAGAAATGCTTGCCAAAACTACCACGCAATCAGGGATTTACTTGCTGGGTCTCGAAGAACTGGGTGGCTCACACTCTGACTCGTTGTCTGGCTCGCTGTCCGAAAAATTACCGCAGTCCAGCAAACAGTCACGGGCCCTTTTCAAGAAAACTTCCAAATATTCACCCTTCAAACAATTCTTTGCGTAAAGATAAAGATCGCTTAGCAAAAGATGTGGCAAGGTTATATTCAACAATACGACGGTGAATACTAGTGGAACGCAATCCTTGGGCACGAAGCTGTCTTCTAAGCTGGAATCTCCCTTCCGAACGCAGACGGCGCAACTCGCCTCTGTCCTTGTGGCTTTCCGTGTTTGCAACGCAGGGCTGTGACCGTCACACACACAATGGCTCAGCTCGGAGGTTGCTAGCTCACAGCCCTGGACATGCTATACACGGCACATCCCGGAGGGACGTCAAGCGCAACTGCAAACAACTGTGGCTCTGTAAGCGCGGCTCCCGCAAGCTGGGGCTCAAGCAGCGCTGCATTGGCTTTCGCCACCTTGGGCTTCGGACACTTATTCGAAAAAT